TGATGATGTAACAGGATGTCCAATTTACTAATTACAACAATACCACCACAGCCCAGGAATCAATGTTATATATATATATATATATTGTATACACAGGAAAAATAAGATCTAACAACAGACTATGTATACAAGTAACCACAATATAATATATCGCCTCTTCAGTTTACAAAAAATAAACGAAACTGTATATACCAGTAACTTTTTTTGTGAGTAAGTGGCGATACCTCAATGTCTGTTTCGTTGTCTGATGTCGCTTGCTTCGGTATTTCGTACGCATCCATAACAGAGCTATAATGACGAGTAGGGGGACGACTGTCACGCTAAGTCCAATTATGACAAGAATCCCAAATTCGTCTGTACAGCAAGAGAATATTAGGAGGTCAACAAAATCGTAATTCCAATGTACATGTTCATTTAATCCTTTCTCTACTCTTTCCAACCCAAATAAAAACACTTTAATAAGCATATGTAAATTTTAATATGTAAATTTTACCGACTACGTTGCCAAGATTTTGAAGAACAAGAGCGCATTTGTACAAATTAGTAATGAAATATGTACACTCTGAAATTATGCATTTGTTTAATAGCCTGCAGTTATTTTGAGAACCAACATCGCCATTGTAAATATGTATATTTCAATCAAACGCGTGAAAAACAAAATAAGATCAGATAGCAATTTACAATAGTAAAGTTATTAACTACAGAAAATACACACACAAGTACAACCGCATTCCAGTGCTGGAACAGTTTCGTTTGATTTGGTTTTATTTTGTTTCCTATCAACTGCTAATGTCATTTAAGGACGAGCCTCCTAGTGTGTTGTGTAAGCCTGCTTGCGTGTGTGTGCCGAAGACAGAGCACATTGGTATTGCCTCCTTGTGATAGCGCGGATCTGATGCCGACTTTATAGTGTTATCTCATTGTAATACCATGTCGAAGGCACCCAGCATAACATTCCACCCCGGTCTCATAATACTGAAAACGGGTGAACTAATTCTTGCCAATCCTGTAAATGCTGAACGTTAAACAAGGAAATCCTGAATTAAAATACTTATCATTCAACAAGAACATATAAAACAATATTTACATCCTAATGGTACCGAGAGTGAATATTTCTTACCTTCAGGCTGCTGGATATTTCTAAAAATAGAAATAAACAGAGAGAAAAAAAACTAGGATACCTGTATAAGTAGTGAACTTGACCATCATACAAATATGCAACCCATTAACCCTTTCACCTCTATGTAACTTTAGTAGACTCTACCATGCATTGATCTGGGCGAGTCCATTATGGTCTACAGTGGTGAAAGGGTTAATGATAACTAAAGATGTATATGCTAAATGTTGTTTTGTGCTATATTTTCATATCTTGGTTTTGAAAATTATCTTTCAGAACCAGAAATAGTATCCATGCATAAGTATTTCCGCGTAAGAAAATAGTCCATCATAAAAAAATCATTATAAAATTATGTACGTATATTGTAATGACAAACACGCTACTTTAAGCGTAAATGTCCATATGGAGAAATACATGACGAAACATTGTTTTAAAAAAATATCTTTCTACACAATTGTAAGGTTCATGATACGCCTCAGCGTAAAACTTGTTCGATTAACTATATCGAACAATTATCACGATAATCATTAAGCTTAAAAGTCACTTGGAAGTTATGGTATCAAATTATTTCTATGGGAATTAAGAAATATATAAGGTAGCAGTAAACATATGATAAACAGTTTATCATACAATATTTTCAGGGTTTTTCGTTCGAACAATATTCTCTCGATATTATCCACGTGCTCGTGATGAGAAAATCAATTGTTTTCACGACAAACCGTGAAAACCTAGTGTGATAATCTATAATTAATTGTAGAACTCAAATGAGATAAAAATAATTAGATATTTAAAATAAAAGCTGAAAGAAGCAATCGATACAGGTATCAAGGATAGTTCGACGCAAGCGTTGAATAACGTCATGTATTTCCGTGGAATACATGTCTTATATCAACTTCACTAACATAACAAAGGCTTCCAGCAGAATCAGGGACGTTGTTAGATGTCAACTCTTAATTGCAAAATGCAGAAACCAAACATAATATTCAGTTGCTATGGACATCATTAGACTTTTACCATCAGTTTTAACAGTAGATTATCTACTACTGATGAACTTTATTCACGCTGACATAACATAGAATGTAAAAAGCGATAACATACGATATACAAAGCACACATAGGGACATTTCCCCTTAATGCCATCGTTAAGTGTTCAAACCAAACCATATATAATGCCAAAACTTACACACAGATGGCGTTACCTCCGACCACCTCACAGGTTTTCCCGTCACCACATCCGGTCACCGACGTCTTAGCAACAACGTCACAAGGGTTAGAGTTCAGTGTTATCGAAACTGGGAAAAAACAAAGATGACAGCTGTTTAGGTGAATTCATTAAGCAATACAATACAATAGAATACAAGGAATAAACAAATATCAACTGCTTGTTCAATTATTGTTATTTCTACGTATGTATTCAATACAAAACTATTTCAATGCCTTTTACAGAATAACATATTTGTATGTAAGTTGCGTATATGGTAACAAAATAGATTTCCAGAAGTTTAACTCGTTGGAACCTATCTATTACGTATACGTTGCAACACCCTACACAAATTGCCAAGCGAAGTAACTCTTACTAAAAAAATATCTTAGTTGCTTTATCATCAACACACTAGGACGAATACTCAATTTAGATCTTATGCAATTGTCACATAATCGTATGAAAAATTACCCTGTGTGCCGTTGTTATTCTCCAGAGTAATGGCGGAAGTTTTGGCGGATTGGTTGTTATAAGTGAGTGTGTTGCCGGAAGCCAGCCCAACAAGCGCGTTTGTGATCCCCGTATTCGCTTCCGTTGTGTTTGACGTAACTATCGTATGCTCAACAACCAGACTCCCGCGTCTGAAATAAAATAAAATGGTATTTTTTACTCTCATGCAAGGAGGCAGAATGCAAGAGGGAGGAAGGGACAGGGCGGAGGGAAGGAATGAGGAGGAGAAGGAGGAGACAAGACGGAGAGGAAACATAAGTGGTTCAGAAGCAGCAGAAGCAGCAGCAGCAACAATAAGTGAACTTACCTCAAAAGGATGATGAAGACATCTATAAATCCAATGACTCCCCGGTAAAAGATAATAAGCTAAAATGTCAAAAAAGAAAAAGAAAATAACTTTAGCCATAAAGGTAAGAGAAGACCAATATGTCCATATTGCTATACTTGAATATGTTCTCTACATCAAATATTGCAAGTAAGAAAAACAAAGCGAATGAGGCTCACATAGATATAACCCCACCCCCGCTTCGCCATGATCTTTGACCCTTTAACCTTAATCGATCATCATCAAATCCTGATCTCGCGTAGAAATCAATGTTCCATATTATGACGTAAAGCTGTTAAATTTCTTGAGGAATTGGTGAGATATTTTATAAACAAGTCTTTTTTATTTGCTTAAATTATGATCTTTGACTCTTTAACCTTTACCAATGACCATCAAAATTGTGTCAGATGTGGGAACTGATATGTACATACTTTGGTGTAAATATAAATTAAATATGATAAAGGTTTCATGAGACGGTTTGTACCCAACCTTTTCACTACGGACGAATGCATCATGACATACCGTATAGCAGGCTATTTCTGCGATGATGACATGTTCGCGATTTCACGGGTCAGTAACATGATCGCGAAAATATGATACGCGGTATAATATGACAAACGTAAAAATGAGCTGCGATAATATACTTCATAGCCGTCATGAGATCATGAAATATCGCGTACGTGGACCAATTATATACTTAAAGAGTATCGATGTTTAAAAATAGGTCATATCACACATCTAATAGTTTTGTTGATGATTTGTTTCACAAAATACATTTACTTGTTGTTACTCAATATGCCTAATTTGACTTTTTATATACCCCATGTCCCGTCTCTGTGATGTTGTTATTCATTATGCCTAATTCGACATTTTTATATTCCCCATGTCCCGTCTCTGTGCTGTTGTTGCTCAATATGCCTAATTTGACTTTTTATATACCCTAAGTCCCGTCTCTGTGCTGTTGTTACTGAATATGCCTAATTTGACTATTTATGTACCCCATGTCCGGTCTCTGTGCTGTTGTTACTCATTATGCTTCATTTGACTATTTATGTACCCCATGTCCCGTCTCTGTGCTGTTGTTACTCAATATGCCTAATTTGACTTTTTATATACCCCATGTCCCGTCTCTGTGATGTTGTTATTCATTATGCCTAATTCGACATTTTTATATACCCCATGTCCCGTCTCTGTGCTGTTGTTACTCAATATGCCTAATTTGACTTTTTATATGCCCCATGTCCCGTCTCTGTGATGTTGTTACTCAATATGCCTAATTTGACTTGTTATATAGCCCATGTCCCGTCTCTGTGCTGTTGTCACTCAATATGCCTAATTTGACTTTTTATATACCCCATGTCCCGTCTCTGTGCTAAACCGCCGCGAAGTTTTAGTTACGTTACATGTCTTCATACGAAATTATAATCCGTGTAAATAAAATTGTAATTTCAAAATTGCGAAAAATAAACCCTCGAAATAACCCGCTATAAGTTATTCCAAAATGGAGAGAGAGTATGTGTATTTAGACCAGTTTTTCACTGTTTTATAAGCTTATCAATTCCATGACGAATCAAAATTTAAAAATTATATTTTTGACAAACATGACCATTTACATTGATTTGGACTTTTGCCATTAGACGTTCATCTTTACCTTCAAAATATGAAGCCTAGTTTTAAATTACCGTTTTTTCGTTTTGTAAATGAACAAGAATTAATGTTTCCGTTAGTATTTCGTTAAACCGAACATGTTTAAAAAACAAGACCAAGACACCCGAAAATCCGTCTACACTTAACTGTTCTAGACTAAGACCATTAAACCAGAAGAGAAGAAGGGTATACACCGGTTGTCAAGTCTTGAAGACTTTTTCCATAGCTGAAGACAAGGCAAGTGAACCCATAATTGAGATAGAACCATATTTATATGTTTAGATGATGTGCTACGTCAACTTTAACGAGCAAATTCGTGATATTTATATCACCCCTTTGCGGAACATGTTAGTGTTTAAGTGGTAATATTCGCGGGGGATTTAATTTCGCTATATTCGCAGTCACCGAAGTCTGCACGAAATTATATACCAAGTTAAAATGAATACCCTAAATTATACTCTCTGTAGATATATATTTACAAACACACCAGAAACATACTGTTTACCCGTTAATTGCCGAAGAATGAAGATGAAACAAAAACTAATATCGCATTTTACTTCATGTTCACACGAAAAAACAACCACTTCTTAAAAATGAATCCCATCGCCCAAAAACAGAAGTACCTTCGAAAGCGCGATATGTTTTCCTGCCATGGTGGACAGAACTTTATCCCCGGGGATGGAAAACAAAGCGTGACATGGACAGACCTTGATTAACAAAAGGACGCACTCCGGAAGCGGGTAATAAAAAGGACAAGAAAATCAAACACCTATTCCTAGCTGTGAAATAATTTCCCAATTACACGATCTTTCGGCATTTTCATTACTGCTGAAGAACTGAAAGGTGTGTGTTAAAAGCATATTTTTCAAACACAGTCTTAAAAAGTTTAACCACGCTACAATAGTAAACAAATTGTGCATATTTACATCAACAAGGTTCTTAGCGTGTATATCGTCAATGACTTACAGCGCGCATTTTGTCTTGTTGCTTGGTAACCTGGACTGCTTGTATTTGTAAGGTCTATCGCGCCGGGAATAGTCACTTCAATCCTGATAGTGCATGCTCTGTGAACAGTGTCTGAAACACAACAAGGTTAGTAAAATCATACACTTGTACAAGGACAGGTAAATAATGATCCATAATGGCTTGGTGAGTTGTTTTGTTCTTGTATTGTTTTAACAGGCCATTGACAAATCATTTAAGGAGCGTAGTTCAAAATTGAAAGATAAGTTCAGAGTTAATTAAAAACAAAATCAATGTCAAGAACACTTGTTGTGTCAAATAGTTGTGAACCGTTTTAATTTCTTATAAAGACTTACTTGGAGCGGTAATAGTTGTAGTTTGGGTAGTAGTTGTCGCTACTTGAGTGGTAGTTGTCGTTACTGGAGTGGTAGTTGTCGCTACTGGAGTGGTGGTTGTCGTTACTGGAGTGGTGGTTGTCGTTAGTGGAGTGGTAGTTGTCGCTACTGGAGTGATGGTTGTCGCTACTGGAGTGGTTGTTGTCGCTATTGGAGTGGTAGTTGTCGCTACTGGTGTGGTGGTTGTCGTTAGTGGAGTGGTTGTTGTGGCTACTGGAGTGGTGGTTGTCGTTACTGGAGTGGTGGTTGTCGTAACTGGACTGGTAGTTGTCGCTACTGGAGTGGTAGTTGTCGCTACTGGAGTGATGGTTGTCGCTATTGGAGTGGTAGTTGTCGCTACTGGTGTGGTAGTTGTCGTTACTGGAGTGGTTGTTGTGGCTACTGGAGTGGTAGTTGTCGCTACTGGAGAGGTAGTTGTCGCTACTGGAGTGGTAGTAGTCGCTACTGCGTTGCTGGCTGTCGCCTTTTGAGTGGTAGTAATCGCTACTGGAGTGGTAGTTGTCGCTACTCGAGTGGTGGTTATCGCCTTTGGAGTCGTAGTAGTCGCTACTTGAGTGGATGTTGTCGTTTCTGGAGTGGCAGTGGTCGCCTCTTGAGTCGTAGTAGTCGCTACTGGAGTGGTAGTTATCGTTTCTGGAATGGTTGTCGCTACTGGAGTGGTAATTGTCACCTCTGGATAGGTAGTAGTTGTCGCTACTTGAATGGTTGTTGTCGCCTCGGAAGAGTTAGAAATAGCTACAGGAATGGTTGTTGTGTCTGGTTGAGTGGTAGGTGTTGCTACAGGCGTGGTAGTTGTGTCTGGTTGAGTGGAAGTCGTTGCTACAGGCGTGGTAGTTGTGTCTGGTTGAGTGGAAGTCGTTGCTACAGGCGTGGTAGTTGTGTCTGGTTGAGTGGAAGTCGTTGCTACAGGCGTGGTAGTTGTGTCTGGTTGAGTGGAAGTCGTTGCTACAGGCGTGGTAGTTGTGTCTGGTTGAGTGGAAGTCGTTGCTACAGGCGTGGTAGTTGTGTCTGGTTGAGTGGAAGTCGTTGCTACAGGCGTGGTAGTTGTGTCTGGTTGAGTGGAAGTCGTTGCTACAGGCGTGGTAGTTGTGTCTGGTTGAGTGGAAGTCGTTGCTACAGGCGTGGTAGTTGTGTCTGGTTGAGTGGAAGTCGTTGCTACAGGCGTGGTAGTTGTGTCTGGTTGAGTGGAAGTCGTTGCTACAGGCGTGGTAGTTGTGTCTGGTTGAGTGGAAGTCGTTGCTACAGGCGTGGTAGTTGTGTCTGGTTGAGTGGAAGTCGTTGCTACAGGCGTGGTAGTTGTGTCTGGTTGAGTGGAAGTCGTTGCTACAGGCGTGGTAGTTGTGTCTGGTTGAGTGGAAGTCGTTGCTACAGGCGTGGTAGTTGTGTCTGGTTGAGTGGAAGTCGTTGCTACAGGCGTGGTAGTTGTGTCTGGTTGAGTGGAAGTCGTTGCTACAGGCGTGGTAGTTGTGTCTGGTTGAGTGGAAGTCGTTGCTACAGGCGTGGTAGTTGTGTCTGGTTGAGTGGAAGTCGTTGCTACAGGCGTGGTAGTTGTGTCTGGTTGAGTGGAAGTCGTTGCTACAGGCGTGGTAGTTGTGTCTGGTTGAGTGGAAGTCGTTGCTACAGGCGTGGTAGTTGTGTCTGGTTGAGTGGAAGTCGTTGCTACAGGCGTGGTAGTTGTGTCTGGTTGAGTGGAAGTCGTTGCTACAGGCGTGGTAGTTGTGTCTGGTTGAGTGGAAGTCGTTGCTACAGGCGTGGTAGTTGTGTCTGGTTGAGTGGAAGTCGTTGCTACAGGCGTGGTAGTTGTGTCTGGTTGAGTGGAAGTCGTTGCTACAGGCGTGGTAGTTGTGTCTGGTTGAGTGGAAGTCGTTGCTACAGGCGTGGTAGTTGTGTCTGGTTGAGTGGAAGTCGTTGCTACAGGCGTGGTAGTTGTGTCTGGTTGAGTGGAAGTCGTTGCTACAGGCGTGGTAGTTGTGTCTGGTTGAGTGGAAGTCGTTGCTACAGGAGTGGTAGTTGTGTCTGGTTGAGTGGAAGTCGTCGCTACTGGAGTGGAAGATGTAGGTACTGGAGTGGTTGTTGATTCCGGCTGAGTGGTCGTTCTTGCTTCTCGCGTAGTGGTTGTCATTTCTGGGAAGTTTGAAATTGTTACTTGAGTATTAATCACTTTTAAAGTGGTAGCTGTTGCCTCTAGGGTGGAATTTGTCGGTACTGGAGTGATAGTTGATGTCTCTGGATTGGTAACTGTCGCTTCTGATGTGTTTGTTGTTGCTACGAAAGTTGTGGTTGTCGGATTTAAGGTAGTAGATGGAGCTACGTAACACGTTTCACAACAATCCTCCCGGTACTTTTCTGACGACGAACAATTTGCCTCTTTACAATCGAAAATCTTGTCACCGTATGTACATCCTTCGAAAAAAAGGCACATGATCAAAGTAACGTATGTCGTGTTATCAGTCAGTCATGATCTAAGTTACACATGTCGTGTAATCAGTTACACATATCGTGTTATCAGTCAGACATGATCTAAGTAACACATGTCGTGTAATCAGTAACATATGTCGTGTTATTAGTCAGTCATGATCTAAGTTACACATGTCGTGTAATCAGTTACATATGTCGTGTAATCAGTCAGTCATGAAGTCAGGCATGATCTAAGTCACACATGTCGTGTAATCAGTTACATATGTCGTGTTATTAGTCAGTCATGATCTAAGTAACATGTACACATGTCGTGTTATCAGTTACATATGTCGTGTAATCAGTCAGTCATGATCTAGGTTACACATGTCGTGTTATCATTCAGGCATGATCTTAGTTACACATGTCGTGTAATCGGTTACATATGTCGTGTTATCAGTCAGGCATGATCTAAGTCACACATGTCGTGTAATCAGTTGCACATATCGTGTTATCAGTCAGTCATGATCTTAGTTACACATGTCGTGTAATCAGTTACATATGTCGTGTAATCAGTCAGTCATGATCTAGGTTACACATGTCGTGTTATCATTCAGGCATGATCTTAGTTACACATGTCGTGTTATCATTCAGACATGATCTGAGTTACACATGTCGTGTTATTATTCAGGCATGATCTTAGTTACACATGTCGTGTTATCAGTAAGTCATGATCTAAGTTACACATTTCGTGTTATCAGTCAGTCATGTTCTAAGTTACACATGTCGTGTAAGCAGTTACACATATCGTGTTATCAGTCAGTCATGGTCAAAGTTACACATGTCATGTTATCAGTCAGTCATGATCTAAGTTACACATGTCGTGTTATCATTCAGGCAAGATCTTAGTTACACATGTTATGTTATCAGTCAGACACGATCTAAGTTACATATGTCGAGTTCATAGTCAGACATGATCTAAGTAACATGTACATATGTCGTGTAATCAGTTACACATGTCGTGTTATCATTCAGGCAAGATCTTAGTTACACATTTTATGTTATCAGTCAGACACGATCTAAGTAACATGGGTCGAGGTACCAGTCAGACATGATCTAAGTTACATATGTCGAGTTATCAGTCAGACATGATCTAAATTACACATGTCGTGTAATCAGTAACACATGTCGAGTTATCAGTCAGACACGAACTAAGTAACATGTGTCGAGGTACCAGTCAGACATGATCTAAGTTACATATGTCGAGTTATCAGTCAGACACGATCTAAGTAACATGTACATAGGTCGTGTAATCAGTCAGACATGATCTAAGTCACACATGTCGTGTAATCAGTTACACATGTCGAGTTATCAGTCAGACATTAATTTAAGTTATATATGTCGTGTTAGCAGTCAGACATGATCTTAGTTACACATGTTGTGTAATCAGTCAGACATGATCTAAGTTACACATGTCGTGTTATCAGTCAGAAATGATCTAAATTACACATGTTGTGTAATCAGTCAGACATGATCTCAGTAACACATGTCGTGTTATCAGTCAGACATGATCTGAGTAACACATGTCGTGTTATCATTCAGGCATGATCTTAGTTACAGATGTTGTGTTATCAGTCAGACACGATCTAAATTACACATATCGTGTTATCAGTCAGACATGTCGTGTTATCAGTCAGTCATGATCTAAGTTACACATGTCGTGGTATCACTCAGTCATGATCAAAGTTAGACATGTCGTGTTATCACTCAGTCATGATCTAAGATACACATGTCGTGTTATCACTCAGTCATGATCTAAGTAACACATGTCGTGTTATCAGTCAAACATGATCTAAGTAACGTGTGCATATGTCGTGTAATCAGTTACACATGTCGTGTTATCAGTCAGTCATGATCTTAGTTACACATGTCGTGTAATCAGTTACATATGTCGTGTTATCAGTCAGTCATGATCTAGGTTACACATGTCGTGTTATCAGTCAGTCATGGTCTAAGTTACACATGTCGTGTTATCAGTTACATATGTCGTGTAATCAGTCAGGCATAATCTGAGTTACACATGACGTGTTATCAGTCAGTCATGATCTAAGTTACACATGTCGTGTTATCAGTCAGACATGATCTAAGTCACACATGTCGTGTAATTAGTTACACAAGTCGTGTTATCAGTCAGACATGATCTACGTTACACATGTCGTGTTATCAGTCAGTCATGATCTAGGTTACACATGTCGTGTAATCAGTTACACATGTCGAGTTATCAGTCAGACATGATCTAAGTAACATGTACATATGTCGTGTTATCAGTCAGGCATGATCTAAGTCACACATGTCGTGTAATCAGTTACACATGTCGTGTTTTCAGTCAGTCATGATCCAAGTTAAACATGTCGTGTTATCAGTCAGTCATGATCTAGGTTACACATGTCGTGTAATCAGTTACACATGTCGAGTTATCAGTCAGACACTAACTAAGTAACATTTGTCGAGGTACCAGTCAGACATGATCTCAGGTACATATGTCGAGTTATCAGTCAGACTTGAGCTAAGTTACATGTATATATGTCGTGTTATCCGTCAGACATGTTCTAACTCACACATGTCGTGTAATTAGTTACACAAGTCGTGTTATCAGTCAGACATGATCTAGGTTACACATGTCGTGGTATCAGTCAGACATGATCTTAGTTACACATGTTGTGTTATCAGTCAGACACGATCTAAATTACACATGTCGTGTTATAAGTCAGACATCATCTAAATAACATATGTCGTGTTATCAGTCAGACATGATCTAAGTAACACATGTCGTGTTATCAGTCAAACATGATCTAAGTAACGTGTGCATATGTCGTGTAATCAGTTACACATGTCGTGTTTTCAGTCAGTCATGATCCAAGTTAAACATGTCGTGTTATCAGTCAGTCATGATCTAGGTTACACATGTCGTGTAATCAGTTACACATGTCGAGTTATCAGTCAGACATGATCTAAGTTACATGTACATATGTCGTGTTATCCGTCAGACATGATCTAAGTCACACATGTCGTGTAATCAGTTACACAAGTCGTGTTATCAGTCAGACATGATCTAAGTTACACATGTCGTGTTATCAGTTACATATGTCGTGTAATCAGTCAGGCATAATCTGAGTTACACATGACGTGTTATCAGTCAGTCATGATCTAAGTTACTCATGTCGTGTTATCACTCAGTCATGATCTAAGTTACAAATGTCGTGTAATCAGTTACACATGTCGTGTTATCAATCAGACATGATCTAAGTTACAAATGTCGTGTTATCAGTCAGAAATGATCTAAATTACACATGTTGTGTAATCAGTCAGACATGATCTAAGTTACAAATGTCGTGTTATCAGTCAGAAATGATCTAAATTACACATGTTGTGTAATCAGTCAGACATGATCTAAGTTACATATGTCATGTTATCAGTCAGACATGATCTATGTTACATATGTCGTGTTATCAGTCAGACATTATCTAAATTACATATGTCGAGGTAGTCATGATCCAAGTTAAACATGTCGTGTTATCAGTCAGTCATGATCTAAGTTACGCATGGCGTGTTATCAGTTACATATGTCGTGTAATCAGTCAGGCATAATCTGCGTTACACATGACGTGTTATCAGTCAGTCATGATCTAAGTTACTCATGTCGTGTTATCACTCAGTCATGATCTAAGTTACACATGTCGTGTAATCAGTAACACATGTCGAGTTATCAGTCAGACACGAACTAAGTAACATATGTCGAGGTATCAGTCAGACATGATCTCAGGTACATATGTCGAGTTATCAGTCAGACTTGAGCTAAGTTACATGTATATATGTCGTGTTATCCGTCAGACATGATTTAAGTCACACATGTCGTGTAATCAGTTACACATGTCGAGTTATCAGTCAGTCACGAGTGTTTCAGTCAGTCATGATCTAAGTTACACATGTCGTGTAATCAGTTACACATGTCGAGTTATCAGTCAGTCACGAGTGTTTCAGTCAGTCATGATCTAAGTTACACATGTCGTGTAATCAGTTACACATGTCGAGTTATCAGTCAGACACGAACTAAGTAACATATGTCGAGGTATCAGTCAGACATGATCTCAGGTACATATGTCGAGTTATCAGTCAGACTTGATCTAAGTTACATGTATATATGTCGTGTTATCCGTCAGACATGATCTAAGTCACACATGTCGTGTAATTAGTTACACAAGTCGTGTTATCAGTCAGACATGATCTACGTTACACATGTCGTGGTATCAGTCAGACATGATCTTAGTTACACATGTTGTGTAATCTGTCAGACATGATCTAAGTTACATATGTCATGTTATCAGTCAGACATGATCTATGTTACATATGTCGTGTTATCAGTCAGACATTATCTAAATTACATATGTCGAGGTATCAGTCAGACATGATCTAAATTAAACATGTCGTGTTATCAGTCAGACATGATCTAAATTACACTTATCGTGTTATCAGTCAGAAATGATCTAAATTACACATGTCGTGTTATCAGTCAGACATGTCGTGTAATCAGTTACACATGTCGAGTTATCAGTCAGTCACGAGTGTTCCATCATAAAAATATTCACAGTTTATTTAGGGCTCTCTGCGTATGCGCAAATGTTAAATCAAACGTAACCCGCACATTGTTTTACCGGTCTTTTTGCGTCTTCATAAATACGACAAATCTGGTTTTTACAGATTGTTACTATTTATAGAAATTGTATGCGACTGGAAATGCATTTAAAATCTCAAGATCCGAACAAAGGACCTGTTACAGGAACAAAAGGATTTTGCCCACATAGCAATTTAACCATTACTGGGTTATATTTGTAGCTCCCTAAGACACGACCCATGAGATATTTTTTAAAAATTAAAAAGGTCCCCAGGGCCTGTGCTATGAACCATTTAGTGCCGCCTTCCAAAGGTATACGACAGGGTACACTTTTTTG